CCCCCACTTTGACCGGGTTACGCGAGTGTTGAAGGTCGATTTCGCGTTCCCAAGAGGGTCGAAGTAGACCTTTCCAGTGTGTTTGGTAGAGAACGGCGAGAACACCGCCGCGTCCGCGAGAACAGTTTGATGGCCAATGATTTGTTCCTTCAAGGCGTGGCGTAGGGGTCCATTGTGAAAAAATGAAAGGCGGTTGTCAGAAAATAATGACAGGTAAGTGTCGTGAGGTTGTCGGTGATTCCGACACTTGGGTACCGAGCTGGCAATGCCCCATCCAGAGGGCGCTCACAAACGTCATTAAGAGACCAAGCACATAGCAACTGCGCCTTTCAACGATACACACGCATTGATCCAACCACCAGCACAGGATCACACGGGCGCGCACACGCTGGTCTCCAGTCTCTGGCAAGGAGAACAGCAAAGTGGGCACACTTGGAGATGGGGGGGAGATATCACACAGCAGTCAAACAGTTTTCCGCGCTCTGTTCAGCAAAAATCTATATTCTCGACTTGGTATGCACACCCACTGCCCACAAGCACGACTATGAGAAAATGCATCACCAGTTCCTCTCATGCTAGAGTATCGAGAGCTCTCCACGTTGCCCGACTTCGATGAAATGGCCTCAACGTGGTTCCGGGAAACCTTGGAAGCTCATGTCGATTCGCTCGAGGTTGGGAAAAGTGAAAAGTGTCGAAGAAACTAGAACTAGGGAGCGTTGACGTATGCTCGAAACGACCTGTGCTTTGCTTGTGGGTGGCAGGAGTATGAGAAGTGAAGCCCAAGTGCGCCTGTCAGGTTCACCCGGAACATTTTTGGTTTGCTTCTGCTTGCCTCTTCAAAAGTTTAGCTCTACACAACTGTATTGTGAACATATCTGCTGATGTTGCGACTTTGCATCTACTATACTACAGGCAGTTATCGACCCTTCAGGATAGATACGTGTGACAAGATGACTGACGCCACGAACTCGCGTTTGGGGTTTGTACGCTGTGCCTGATGCTGGCGGGCGCTCTGCCGTCGTGCCCTCGGGTCGCCCCCTTTGGACAGCCTTTTAGCGACGATTCAACAAAATTCGAAACCGGCTCTTGTGGAGTTTTTCTCCGCGCCCATAGAGCGCGCCCGAACCTGCCCAGGCACTGCACGTGGGCCGTGTGTGCGCCGACATGCTGCTGCGGTTGGTTTCTTAGTAGCACACCTCAATTTTTGCAGTTGAGCGTGCTGTGTTAGTAGCCGACCCGAAAGAAAAGAGTGCCCTCACTCCTGTGTGCACAAACGCTCCGGACAGCCCATAGAAGCAGCGACAAACACTAGAGTGCAGAGAGAAGTTGGGACTGGTTGCACTGCTGACCACCAGCAGTGTGGCCCCGCTCAAGCTTGGGGTATATCCAAACACGTGCTCGAGTCGTTGATCAGACAAACTGGACGTTTGCCAACAACTCCTGTGTCGGAGAGGTACTGCGAGAGGTAACGAATCTACGCCGATGCTGTGGTGCTGATGCTAGAAAGATCAGCGCACACCTGACTTGAAAGGCGAAGAGGAGAGAAAAGGCGCACCTGGTCGCACCTGGTCGCACACATTTGTGGCGAATGCTACTGCGTTCGGAGGGTGATAAAACTTGGCGGGGGACGACGAATCGCCATGCCTACCGAGGCATCCTCAAAATATCCTGAGGCGTGCGCCGTTCATGTAGGCGATATCGGTCTGTTGGTTTCTGTCAACAAGATTCTGAGATTCTATATTTTCGAAATTGCTCGAGAGGACAAAAACAGCGACAAAGAGCAATGGAGACAGGAAGACGGCGAACCGGTGAAGGTGAAGACGAGAGAATAAACAGCGCGCATGGACGCATATGGCCGCAATCTTTTTTGCGTATGTTACTGCGCGCGGAAGTCGATCAAACTTGGCGAGGGGGGGCATACTCAAGATATCGCGAAACGTGCGCCGTACTGTAGGTCGACATTGGTCTGTTGATGTCTGCCACACAAGCTGACCATGAGATTCGGATCTTCCAAAAACAGCGATGAGGACATGATGAGGACAGGACGACGGCGAACCAATGAAGACGAGAGAGAAACAGCGCGCATGGTCGCACATGGCCGCACACTTGTGACGTACGCTACTGCACGCTGAAGTCGATCAAACTTGGCAACTAGCCATCATTTGGGATGCCCTATCGAGGCATACTCGAGATGTCACGAGCCGTGTGCCATAGATCGAGATCAGCTTTTGAGACGGCCGGGCAGGGTGGCGGAATCGGAATGAGAGGGTCTGCGACAAAATGAATTTATTGTAGTGGGAGAGACTGAGGCTTACAGCTTCAGAACTCAACGCACCTGCTCGTACTGTGTACAATAACGCGATTGGCTAAGGGCAGTCCTATCTATCATTGGAATGCAGTGAGGTCGATTACTTGATCGAACAATGGCCAATACTCCTCTTACGGATCGTGAAAATACCGTCATCCTCATCCTCACCAAACAGTTTTCTTCCCCTCAAGCTCCTTGACGCTCTCTTCGGCTTCGGCCCGCTCTTCCTCAATACCTTGGTTGGAATCGTCCGGCAGCGCGTAGGCATCTTTCAAGGTGTTGATTCCGAAGTAGAGAAAAGCTGCCGCCGCTATGATGTCGTCCAGAGGAAGGCCAGACGTGAACACGGACGGCACGGAGTGAAACGCCAACCCCAAGAGCACCGCGAGCACCGTCATCACCGCCAGCGCCCCGACCGAGCCCGCAAAGGAGATGAGGCGGCTTGTTTTCGCCGCCAAAAGAGCGGCAATGAAGAAGGTTTTGTCACCAATTTCGGAGACAAACACGAGTGAAAAGGCCTGGAAAAAACCCGAACTAGTTAGTCTTTCCACTAATGTACCGTCGACGGCTGCTGAAGCTATGGGCACGGCCGTCTCGGTTGCGGCTACTGCTGCGTGAGGTAGAAGTTGACATGAAACGGCTCCGGCCAAGGCGAGCAGAGCAACCTTGTGAAGACCGCCAGGGTGACCCATCAGTGAACTCAGATGTCTCGTTCGATTTCTCTCTCCATCCTCCCCCAGATGTGCCCCTCCCTTATTCATGAACAGGCTACTATTGGCCCTGCCGGCTGTTGGTCGATAGGGGCGAGGGAGAGGGCGCGATGCCACAACAAGCGAGCTCACATCGTGCGACGCTCGGCTGCCACGTGGAATCACGTGTGGCACGAACCCACTTACGTGCGCGATACCAGCGAAACACGCCAGCCCAATTGCGGAAGCCTTCATTGCGTGCGTACCGCGCTTGTTTGCACGAACACGTGAAGATGTGAGCTGCTTGAAGGGCACATGAACACATGACCCGTTCAGCATGCATCATGCATCATACATCTGCGGTCCCCTGGATGGGATTGAACGTGGGGGGGTGCGGTGGACATGACAGTCCCGGACGGCCGGGACAGAGAGGAGGTGGGGAGGTAACCAGCGACACGCAGCCCGCACTGACCATGTCACAGCGTGCGATGGCAATGTCGCGATCCATGGTGATGCTGGCACTTTGTTCAGTGAGCCGAACTTCCGCATTCATCCCGGGAGGACCTGCAGCACGCCGCTTTTACTCGACGCACGTGAGACGCTTGTTTGACATCATCCTGGCCCAACGTACTCCCCCCCTTCCCCGCCAAAGGGGCCCAAGCAGATACATGAATTACCACAGAAACAAATTGATACGTGGCAGGTCTGCTATTGGATGATGAGTACTGCATTCACCAAGGTCCAAATAATGTCCTGGGAAAGAATAACGACTCCAAACGTGTGAAAGCCGGATCTTCCATGTACGCTGGTGCTGTCAACATGCGTCATTTCATGATGCTGCACATGTTTCCTGTTGGTGGTTCGACCTCATGGGACGAGTGTGGCTACGCCGTATCCTCCAGGCTTGCTCTATAGTTTTTGCTTCATCTCTCCTGTCATGGTGACATGCATACTACCGGCCGTTAGCCTCTCGAGTTTAATTCTAGAAATTCGTCAAGCTGCCGCCACACCAAAGCACCCACGGGCGTGAACGCCATTTTTTGGGCGAGTCTCGTGTATCGTAGACGTGTGACGCAGCTGTGAGCGTACCAAGCTGGAATTCAATAGGAGACCAAAATATGATGTTATTTCGGAGAATGAAAGTTCGACAGCAGTCTTACTGTCGGGGCATCGAACGCCTCTCGTCCTTTTCCATCCCAAATACCAGGTGGTTGTTCGATGAGGTCCGCCCCTGTTGTTGTCGTAACCCAACGTTTGTGTTGATAGATGCACGTGTGGCTTGGTGTAGTGTTCGTCAAGCCACCGGCATCGAAGAAAGAGCGAAGGACGAGAGTGTCGGCTGGCTCCACGAAAAGCGGGTTGATGTTATGCATACGTGACTCCTTGCAAGGTGGTATGTCCAACACGCTTGTTGCAATGTGCATTCTCGCTGCTATTAGTACTGCTATTAATAGGTGATTGCGTACGCGCATCACCCATCAAATACGGCATGCTGATGATTGCCCCTGTAGTGCTATTGATGTGGGCTTCTAGGAGATGACATCACCCCACACCAGATTCTTCGCCGTCTGCGTGGACATGAAGGCACAGAGGAGGTCTAAGCTAGACCACCTTCGGCAAATAGCAGAGCTAAGGTCCTTGATTGTTCGTGTTGGAAAAAATTCATAGCAGGGTTTGGTGTGTTGTTGGTGTAATGGTTTCGGAGTAAGACATAATGGCATATTAACTCGCTTCGCTCGCAGACACTTCATGGGGTTTCGGGTGCGGTCCAGTGTGCGGTCACAGTGCCGTGTGACTCGATTCGCTCGAAGGCACTTAACGGGGATTCGAGCGTCGTGCGTGTGCGTCACAGGAGTGCCGTGTTGCTCGCATGTACATTACTCAAAGAAAGAAAGGCAGTTCATGCGCAGCAGCGTCGTCATGTATGTATATTCCCCCTCTCGAGGAGTTAGTTCCTTATTATGTGCTTCGTCACACACCGGTGTGCCTCTCTTCTCTCCGTTCGTAGCCACTTGGCTATATTGCACAAGATGATTATTAATAGTTCGACCGCTCAGCAAGAAAGGTCATACCCCCCCTCGACACGCGTTGCCCCACCCAAACCATTGTACAGAACTCCAGGCCACACACCCGCCCACCCGTCTGGGGCTTCGTATGACCGTCTTTCGTCCCACAGTGTAGTGTATACGCAACTCCCCTACCCCTCACGTTAACCGTAACAGTGGCCGGTGCCTTTTGTCGCATGTCGGCTAGAGCGTTGATGGCATCGATGGGCGGTTGGAACGCCTCCTTGAGGAAATCTCTTGCTAACTCTCTGTCCTGCAAGACATCGTCTGGTAACACGAGGAACAGGCCGTCTAGAGTTTTCCCCCTGGACACGGCGGTGTACCCCTGACCCTGGGCGAAGAACCCTCTAGAAGGAATCCACACGGCCACCCTTTCGAACCCTACCCCTTGCACTCTGTGCATACATACCCGGGCAGCGATACATGAAGTCGGCTACGCACGAGCGTCGACGGCAGCAGCGAGCCGGGCAGGAGTAGTGTTGCCGTCCGTTTGAAATTGACCCCCCCCCCCCCCCTGTGGGACTGCAACTGCAAATTGACGCGGCGAAGAAGTTTACTGATAAGTGGAGATTGTCTGCCAACGTTACGAAGAGTGCCGTCATGGTATGCAACGAGGGCAGGGAGGAACCAGTAGAACATAGATGGAAGTGGGGGATCGAGGAGATTGCAGTAGTCGACCAGTACACATACCTCGGAGTAGAGATCGCAAAAGATTGCTCGTGGAATGCACACATGTCCAAGGTAGCGGAAAAGGGCAAAGCACGAGCAGGGAAGCTGCACCCAATACTCGCAAACCGGCACCTTGATACACGCATCAAATTGACGGTTTTGAAGAGCGTAATCGTACCGCCGCTGGAGTACGCCGGAGAAGTATGGGAAGGAAATAAGAAGGTAGTGAAAGAACTCGAGGCGGCGCAGATGAAAGCAGCGAAAATTATCCTAGGATGCTCCAAGCGCACAAGTAATGCAGCAGTCAGGGCAGAATTGGGGATCCAATCCCTACGGTCGGGAAGAGACGTAAGGAAGCTGACATGGCAGTACCGCATGTGCGGGATGGGAGAGGAGAGGTTGCCGAGAATAGTATGGGAGGCGAAGTGGGCAAATAAAAAGAGGGGTAGACAACCCACGGAATGGGTCAAGGTTGTAGAGGACGTATGGAAGGGATTGGACATCGACGAAGATGAAACGCTGGAAACGGAGGGTCTACAGGGGTTCAAGAAGAAGATATCTGTTGCTTGTGCCGACAGAGAAGAACAGAATCTAAGGAAAGAATCCAAGGATAAGGAGGGTCTAGAAGTGTACGGAATGTTGAAAGAAGGAATAGGGTTCAAGGATTACCTACATGGACCAATGGATGCAGGGACAAAGCTTAAGGTCAAATTCAGGACCGGGGACATAGGCCTTCGCGAACGTCGACGAAGACATAGGACGGTAGACGACGAAGACGACAAGTTCAAATGTCATTGCGGCTTCGAATGCGAAGACAGTGTTCATGTAGTCGCGGAATGTCCGTGGTACGAAAAGGAGAGGGAAGTGTACATGACTGAGCTGGGAAGAATACAAGGGACGTACAGGGAGATGTTTGAGGCATGGAATAGAGAGGAGAGGACGGTAGCGGTACTGGGGAGTAGGAAGTGGTTTGAAAAGGCGGGAAGTGACACCGGTAGGATAGACAGACTAGGGAAGACATTTTTGAGCCACCTTTGGCAAAGTAGGAAGGAACGATTGGCCATCGGTGATCGGTCCTGTGGGAACAATGCTCCGTCCTCTCGAGGACGCGTGGTCAATGGTCTAACCGCTAAGGCATGCAAAGCATAAGAGTACGCCCCCCCCCCCCCCCC